TTCACCCTGAAGCCCAGAGCGTTTGTTTGAGTATGTCTCACTTGTACTCAATCGTAAGTACGCTTTGGAACTTCTATAGAAGGACTGAAATTCTTCCCCACCTGGCACTCGGGCTAAGCGTTGGAATGTTTAACAATCTAAACAATTTTTATCCCTTGAAAAGTTTTAGGAATTCAGCCGTTGGTTTTTTACCTAGTTGCAAGGAAAATAAACATTGTTGTTTCCGGCAATATTTTCCAAATCTCCACGTGTAACGAGAATGATGACTGAAAAATCTTTTTTACAGAATAAATTTCTCAGGCAAAGGTGAAAAAGTCAGTGGAACTAGCTAACTCAGTGTAATTCCTTATTTATAAATAGACTTTTTTATGGGGAACGAAGGGATCTAATAGTAGCTGATTATAATTATATGTGTTACAGTCCTCATTTCAGGTCAGTGATGAATCTTATCGTCTGCGTTTTGCTGATCACTACTTGTGTGACGCTCGCCATGTAAGTATCAATAAACTAGTTTGAGAAGATTAAATTGATCAGTCCGGTATGTCCCAATATATGAGGACAGCGTGACGTCATGAAGCTATTGTTTGCAGGGATTGATTACAAACTTAAACTCACCTTGCCTCCAGCCAAGAACATTTTGCAATACCATGGTGTTCATTATTCTCCTTTATAAACTTTTTGATGACTTCAATCTTGTAAGGAGAACTCAGTCGATTTTCAATTCACAGATTTCACATTTTCTTTACAGCTCCGAAGAGTTGCTTTTTGGTTTTACTAATAATGGTAAGTTTTACAAGCGATATCCACCTGAACGCGCCAGTAAAAATTGGCTGGGATCAGCCTCTTTGATCGGCGGTGGAGGATGGACCAGTCTCAAGCATTTTTTCTTCCACCCAGACGGTACCTTATATGGTGTTCACAAGGACAAGTTCTACAAAGGGCCTCCGCCTTCTTCTGGACAGAACTGGATCAGTGAAGCGACTCTCGTTGGCACTGGAGGATGGAATGTCTTTCAGTTTCTGTTTTTTGATCCTAAAGGGATGCTGTACGGCGTCGCAAATGGCAAGTTTTATCGGCGAGCTCCCCCTACACATGGCTCAGACAACTGGCTGGGATCTGCTACACTGGTTGGAAGTGGCGGCTGGCAAGTCTTCCAGTTTTTATTCTTCGATAACAAGGGAATGCTGTATGGCGTTGAAAACGGAAAGTTTCACAAGAGAGAGCCACCCACTGATGCAGGTGACAACTGGTTGGGATCATCGACTCTGATTGGCACTCGAGGATGGAACAATTTCAAGTTGCTTTTCTTCATGAATGATGGCCTGTTGTATGGTGTCAACCACGACAAGTTCTACAGGCGTGCACCTCCTAGCCATGCGCACGATAACTGGATGAGTTCCGCGTCATTGATAGACTCAGGCGGCTGGTCTGTGTTCAAGTTCCTGATGTCTCCTCTGCGGCCTCCTCCACCCGCGGGGTAATTGAAAGTTATCACTATTAAGTTAATTTTCTAGTAGTGCATTTCTTAAAGTTGTTGCGCATAATATTACAGGTTTATTTGTAGGTGTGGATGGGTAGGAATACTATCACCCCTATTTATTCAGTTCCTTCCGTTCACGAAAGATACACCAGGAAACGATGAAATGTTCCTCAGCTGCGAGCTAAATGATGTTACACAGATAAACTTAAGTGTAAACAGCTTAAAATTCAAATGAGTACTTCAGCTGGTTAGGATGAAGAAAATTCAGGATAAGCAATCTTGCCAAAAAGAAATTTGATTAGAATCAATAAACAGTAAAACCATGGGACAGTTTACCATCGGCGGGATAACTGTGCAAATACAAGTGTATCATGTTGAAAGCGTAACATTGAAAAATGATAGCAGCTAGTTTTCCAAAACAAGATCAAGATATAACTATACCTTAAAAATAAAAGAGCGGGGGTGTGAATATATTCAAGATACTTCTAACCACAAGATCCCGTCAGTTTTTTCGTAATAACTTACAACAGGAAGGAAACCATGGCCAAATAACTTGCTGAATATTTATTTTCTGAAAAAATATTTCTTATACAATAAGCTCCACCCATTAACTAGAAGAGAGCTTTGGGGATCAGTGTCTGAGTCTTTAGTTGTCGTTGTTGCTGTGGGTGTTTTTTTTTTTTTAGAATAGATTGGTGGTGCGTAGCCAGGTCAAATGATAGAGAATGACGTTGTTTGTCCTTTAGGCTAAGACGTGAGGACACATTTTGAATCGGTGATAGGTCTGAAGTTTAAGGAAAACATGTCAATTAAACAGTAGTTTTCCAGCTATTCATCATGATTGTGATTCTCTGCTATGAAGAACGAAGAGAGAATGTGCAAGTCGCGTCATGATCTGTGGTGTGCAAGGAATAAACTCAAGAGTCTGGGTGGACACAACCAGGCTTAAATTTCTGCCTGATAAATAAACACCGTCTGTCGTAAGCAGTTTTGATTAAGACTAGTTCTTACCCAAGATTTCTCTCTAAGGCTTCTTAGTGAATCTTGATCTGACTTACTTTGCAGTTTACACCAACCACAATGCTCCAAAGCATCATTTCGTAAAAAAACCGCCTCTTTCGGTCCTACATCATATTTTAGTGCGCAAAACTCAGTACAATATAAAGCAATAACAGAAACATAGATTTCTTTCCTTCCGTACGAAATGGATAAGAGTTGATAAATATAGTTGCTTTGTAGCAGCTCAAAAACTGATTTGATCCTTTCAGAATACTTTATGGAGTTGTCAACACTGGTAAGTTCTACAAGCGACAACCACCTCAAGAAGTCAGCGACAATTGGCTGGGAACAGCCACTTTGATCGGCGGGGGAGGATGGACCAGCTTTAAGCATTTGTTCTTCCACCCAGACGGTACGTTACACGGTGTTCACAACGATAAGTTCTACAAAGGGCCGCCGCCTTCTTCTGGACAGAACTGGATCAGTGAAGCGACTCTCGTTGGCACTGGAGGATGGAATGTCTTCCAGTCTCTGTTTTTTGATCCTAAAGGGATGCTGTACGGCGTCGCAAATGGCAAGTTTTATCGGCGAGCTCCCCCTATACATGGCTCGGACAACTGGCTGGGATCTGCCACACTGGTTGGAAATGGCGGCTGGCAAGTCTTCCAGTTTTTGTTCTTCGATAAAAAGGGAATGCTGTATGGCGTTGAAAACGGAAAGTTTCACAAGAGAGAGCCACCCTCTGATGTGGGAGACAACTGGTTGGGATCATCGACTCTGATTGGCACTGGAGGATGGAACAATTTCAAGTTGCTTTTCTTCATGAATGATGGCCTGTTGTATGGTATCAACCAGGACAAGTTCTACAAACGTGCACCTCCTAGCCATGCGCACGATAATTGGATGGATTCTGCGACATTGATAGGCTCAGGTGGTTGGTCTGTGTTTAAGTTCTTGATTTCCCCTCTGGTCGTAACTGATGAATGGCTTTCATAACGACGGCACAGCAGCTCAAAATGCCGGATCTTGAACTGACCTAGGAATTAAGTTAAGGGATGGATGATGGAATATATTTCTTCTCTCTTCCCTTAATGTAAAACGAAGGGAATGAAAGCAAAAATACAAGCAAATAAAAATGTCTGAGTTGTGAACGGTCCTCATTAATCCTGGACAAAAAGCGAAAAAAACACCCACGAAATATTCTGTTGAAGCATTGCAAATTGCAGTTGATTATTTAAAAGAAGCAAAGTGAAGGTTTGGCCCAGCAGTTTTTGGGTGTAAATGATTTTGTTCAGTTATCTTTCAGAGAAATCGAAAATTTTATAACCGAGAAATTTCTCGTATCATCATACTAGATATCTGCTTTTTCTCTACTGACGTTGCCGCCACACACGATGTAGTTCTCTACATCAAGCGAGAGATATCAATAATTATGTGATTTAAATATCCCCATTCAAAGAACCACAAGTTAATGTGCACGACCGAAAATGTACCAACAAGTAACAGATTGATCTCTTTAGACCATTATCAACAGAAATCTGCCCATTCAAACTGAGACTGAAGGTTACTCGGGTCGAAAAGGTATTTTGGCTCTTGCACTTCCCCAGTTCCACATACCAGTCACAGATTCGTGACGGATTATCCAAAAACGATAAATACCGGAATTGAATGTAACATTTGGTGTCAGATAAGCATTTTATTGGGCTGTAATAATGTCCTACACCACCACGTAATGCGTGTGTGTAAAAGTCATCCCTTTTGTCGATCGAGTTTTTACACAAACTTGGGGCTTCTTTACTCTTTACACCCTAACATCAGCATGTATATTTTCCACTGTTCTCTACACATTTCCTTGGGTGGGGACATGGAAAATTTGTTAAACCATGGAGAACTTGATTAGTTGGTGATCATTTCGTTTATTCTCCTGACCCTAATGTGTGATTCAGGGCTGATATTGTTAGGAGAAATTAGATGCTAGTCACTCTTAGAGGTCAAAGGGTTGAAGAAGGCCTGCGGACCTATCAGGAAACTATGGTTACGTTGATGGTGATCTTTTCTATAATTATTGGCCCCTACTGGTTGTAATAGGTTGACGCAAGGACAGGAAAGTGACGTCATCTGATAAAGAAATAGATTTTTGACATGATGGGAGTCATTGCAACGTGATTTTAAAAGGCGTTTGTTTGCATACGTTTTCTAAAATTAACAGCGACGATATGAAACGATTGTGAGATACTTATCGTCTTCTGCCGCCTTTCGTAGGTTCATGGCATGAATTGTAAACATGATGTGCTGGTGGCTATAAGCCAGAAATCACAAAAGGAAAGAACTCAACTGTGTACCGAGTGCGAATGTCCAACTACTTGGATATCCCGAAAAAAAACAAGATGTGGGCAACATCGGGTCAAAGTTGGGTCAAGATTGGAATTCTCACAGAGACTCACTCACTTATCTCGACTACATACGTGGCTTCATCGCATATGTTGTGGCACAAAAATGGGTCAATACAAGTACTAAAAAATGATGTTGGTCAATTATTACTTCATTGTTTTCTGTCAATTTTTAAGTAATGATGAATTGATGTGTCGAATTAGCAAAGATTGACACAGATACAAAATGACCAGTGCAAATACTAAACAATTTCTATGCAAAACAATTCCATTTTCTAGTATAAGTTATATTACTCAATTAGAGAAAAAATTCATAGTTAGTAAAAGTCCTTTCATTTTCAGCTGACTCACAACAGTAACAGTGTTTGCAACTGCTACAAAAACTATGGAATGGGTTCGGTAGTCTCCAGGGAAGACTTAACCCTCTTTTCTCCGACCCCCTATTTCCTAGAATTCAGGGATGGGTTTCTTTTAAAAAAAAACCGGGATGATAACGTGCTGTTAACAGTTCCGGGTCCCCAACATTACCAATTACTTATATGCAAAACTTAAAGGTGTTTTCAATTTGTTATCTCACCTATTTGGTACTTTAATTTGTCATTATTCAGATAAAGTATTACTAAAAAATCAATCAAAGCACAGGCATTTTTAACATTGTGTTCTGAGCCATCTGAAATTGAGCAAAAAAAAAATGAGGTACTGTGACAATCAAGCACAGCACTAATGACAAAATTTAAAATATTTAACTTATCATTGTCTCATGTAAACAAAAATATTTAATTTCATAGTTACCATTAAAAAAGACGAAAATTTCCACGAAACATATCTACAGATTAATCCCTAATAGTTTGACTACCATTACGAGTGACTGAAGCATAACTATTGGAAACAATGCGTTACATTTTGGATGCTGTACGCCAAAGAATGAACTAGGACAGAAAAGGAATTACTCCTAATTACCACAACATTTCAAAACTTTATATGAAAGCTGGGAAAGAATTCATCCAAAGCATCAAATTTGTAATTGTCAAGAATTACTTTTGAATTTAAATTCCATGCCTTATCCATATCTTATTCTCCAGGTCTAGATTTGCAACATATAATTCAATACAAATTTTAGTAGACTTCGTCAGTGTACTCACCATTAAGGATTAACCTATAGAAAGTGAGAATTCTTGTCGTATCTATCACCTTAAAAGACTGCCCGCAGTCTTTTAAAAATACTTTACTTGGTTCGTCACCTTTGAACAATATTTACAAATGCTTAAGACTTGTTCTAAAACAACAAGAAAATTTCTTCTCCTTTTGATGGGAATTCGGATCAAGGAGCAGGTAAGCATTTTCTTTCCATGTAATTACCCTTTGCACCAAGAGCTGTTTGCAATTGGTGTTGATACGGATGTGCATATTGATTTACTAGCTGGACTCTCCCTAGAAGAAAAGGAAAAATAACGAATAAATCAGGTCAACAATGCATGTTAGGAGATCTATACCTAAAAATCCTATTATAATTATGCCTTCCCACATGAATTCTTTGACCTATACAACCTTGGGAAAGGAGGGGTTATCAATGAACTACAAGTTCATTTTTACATTAAAAAAACTCATTACAAACTGCAGACAGTTGAATTAACACTTGTACAAAAGATTGATTCCATGATATCCCTATACACCTGCGCTGAGTGTGACCCAGTACTTAAGATAAACTTTAAGTGCACCACTTGCCAAGGACTAGAAATAATTGTGCTTCAAATAACTCAGGTCTTGAGTTTAATAGAAGTTGATTACTCTACATGCAAAAGAATATTCAAGGTAACACAACATAAAGTTAGCAAAAAAAATAAAAATAAAAATAAAAATAGCACCAAGACGTAACAACTCCTAAGTGTTACTGGATCTTTGCTTTTGTTTGCATTACATATTAGGGAGACAGATCATACACAGATGTCAAGAAAAGAAAAGTAAGATTGTTACCTGTAGTCAACTTCTTCTGGGACGCCTTGACCTTTGCTTTGAAAGAAAACTCTTCATGGACCTTGATGATATAGGACTACTCCGTTTCTCAACAGGTCTGGAATTTGATTTAAGATCTCTAATTTTTACAGTGTCCTCCTCTTTGGGAGTTTCTTCTGTAAGAGGCATACTGTGGTTTGCAGCCAAAACTCTCTCACGAGGAGAATAGTCTCTGGATTCCAGAGTGTCTTGATTAACTTGATTACTGACTCCTTTGTCCTGTAAATTTGTTTGATTTCCATTTTGCTGCAAAACAATGATATCATCATTCCTCATGTTGTCTTGTCTTTTTTCCCCCTTAATTTCCAAATTCTGTGACAATTCCAACTCTCTTTTCACCAGGGTTTTATCTTGTACATTTTGTGAAGATTTGGCTTCATTCAAAACATGATTCACCTTTGCTGAATCCTCAGAGTCAGATTCCTTTGAGGCATCTGTAGGTACCTTAAAGTAAAAAAAAAAAAAAAGAACTCAAAAAATGATAAAATGAACATGATTCAAGGTGAACAATGATGAGAGCACAATAGACTTTTTCTATTTCTGTCCACTAAAATAAGTGATTCCACCAAAGGAGGTGAACAGAAAGCTTTAAATAAAAAAAAAGGAACAACCCAAACAACAACAACAAATGCATTAAACAGAATATTGTTTTCTTCATATAATGTAATTTAAGATGAGTTCTTACACTACAGTTTTCCAAACTGAACTTATTTGCTTGAAATTAAATTAATATTTAGCCCCTCTAACATAACTACCAAAAACCACTAAGAGAAGTTCTCATGTTACAGAATTTATCTAACACTCTGACTTCAAAAATAAAATAAAGCAAGCTCCTTTGGGTGATGCAAATGAGTCAAAGCCATTGCAATAATATTTCAGATGCACAACTATTGAGGTTTATAATAAAGCTCAGCTTAGTTTTTGTATTTCATCTCTGTAAGAGCAGATGAGATGAAATGACTTCAATTGAATTTACACTTAGTTAGGTTTCTCTCCCCCTACTCATCCTGCAACAAAATCATTTCTTCTTAAATAACATGAACCTCAAGAAAACTAATGACCCAGAAAGCTCATCCAGCTTATCCATAATTCTGAAGCACGAAATGAACAGGACTATTGCTATCCCCCTTCCTGGATGGGATGCAAGTCCATCATAAGGTTACCCTGTAGCCTCTTTTCAGTTTTTTTTTTTTACAGTTTGATGTTTATTCCTAGGTGAGAAGAGGCACTGTGGAGGTAAAGTGTGTTGTTTGAGAACACAACACAGTGATCTGGCCGAGCCTGAACCTGGACCTGTCAATCTGAGGTCCTCTGCCTTAACCACTAAGTCACTGCATCTCAAGGGAAAAAGCAAAGAAGTCTAGGTTTATGCCCTGATTGGCTTGCAATGTTTTTGGTCCAGGACAACACAGGAGATCAAATTGGTACCAGCCATCTTCCAAAGAAACTTGAAGAACTGTTGTTAGGTTACATGTGATGGACTACTGTCCAATCCCAGGATTGGGATTCTGGTCACACTATGCTAATAAGATCATATTAAGCTCTAGTATGTGTACTTCCTTGAAGAGAACACAGACTATTAATGTGAGCTTTTACTATCAATGAATTTGATATATAAATAAGATAGCTTGAACAGGTCAATAGACCTAGGAATTATTTTGACAGGAGATCATGGCAAACAAACTTCAGGCCACCATTTATATGGTAATTGATTACAGGTCAAAAGCATAAAAAGGTTGAGATCTTAGCCACTGCTGAGTACTGATACAGCAGGAATAAAGGGAAGAATGGAAGTCATCAACCAGTGTGGCCCTACTGTCCAAATAACTTTGAAATAGGAAAGATGAATAAAATTGGGGGTCTTTAAAGGATTCTCCAAGAATCTGAGGAATTTTCGAAAGAATGCATAACTCTAAAAGACATGCTTAACTTTTCAGTCTTGTGAATGTCTAACAAATAATTTCTCCTAATGATTGTAATGTTGGTACAATGCAAACAGAAAGGTGGTCATAAAAAAAAAACAAAATATCAGGTGGATATTAATTGATTTTCAGAGCCTAAGTTATCATAAAAGTATGGCAGAAAGAGGTTAGTTGATCAAGAGATCTTAAGAATGAAAAGGTTACAATTATAAAATTACAAAAATGTTAAATTTATATCTGCACAATATACTGATTTTTTAAAAAATGTTATCCTTTGATGGTGCTAATGCTGATGAAATTAGGGTGACAAGGGATAAAAAGTTAGTATTTGAAGATTAGAGATTGATGGCCAAAGGAAAAATACTACTGACACTAAAATCTCAGAGCATATTTCTGTCAAAGGTTTTATTTTCACACAGTACACCTTAATACAGTACTTTTCCATAAATTATCAGGTTTTGCTGTACATGTACTCTTCATTCCAAACATTTTACATCCATGTAACACCAAATTGTACTTATTCTGTTGGTTACTGCATAAGTCCGAGAGAATCTTCTACTGTATTCAGGAATCTCCCTAGTGGAGCTTGTATAATGAGGTGTTAAGCACTTCAGAGGATTATAGAGGGCTAAAATACCACATCCATAAAATTATCTCCTTTATGTTAAAAGTTTGTTTTCTGAGAACCTTTCTTTGATTGAAAATTATCCAATATGTTTTGTTGCAGTGTTGTAGCCTGATACCCTCTTCTAACTTTGAAATAACTATACTTCAAAACAAAATATGAAATAGTGTCTTTATGTCAGGTAGTTTTGGCTTTTTCCTCAGCACATACTGAGAAGACTTAGAAATTTAGCTTTAAGAAAGAGGAATTAAAATCCCATTTATGTCAATATTTGTTTAAATATGGATTTTGTGGAATGGAAATGAAACCGAAAACTAACTCAAATGCATTTCCTTTACAGAACTGATCATTATAACTGAATTAAGGCAGCTTTCTTATGGTCTGTAAAGCTAACACTTTGGCCATCAATCTGGAAATTTGTTTTTATAAATTAATAATATACATGAAAAAATTTCTTAGTTCTGATTGGTTAAGATGAATGCAGTTTTCAGTTAATTCAGTGCAGAAGAGAGTGAATTCAGTGCAGAAGAGAGTGAATTCAGTGCAGAAGAGAGTTAATTCAGTGCAAAGAAAGAAACAAACCAGACATTCTGATTGGTCAGAATGATTGGACAATGTCAATGTCAAGGTCAATGTCACTTGCAGGGTTTGAATAAATTATTTTTGCTCCTCGTGCGCGTGCTTTTCATCTGCGTAGTTATGAGAAGCTACCTGGTTTTTTTTTCATGTATATTATTAATGGATAATCACATGATTTTCTTGTGCAATTTGGAATAAATGAGCACTTGTAAATTTTTTCAAAGACCACAAATTGCACTCGCCCTTTGGGCTCATGCAATTTCGTTAGTCTTTGAAAAAATTTACTCATGCTTATTTATTCCAAATTGCACTCGAAATCATGTGATTACCTACTACTAATAAGTTTAGTTTGTTTTCATCGGTTTATTGGCAGGAGAGAGGTCTTGTTTTCTATTCACCTGAAGTTTATTGGAAAAATTGAACTTTTTCCCTTGGAGTAACTGAATGGATTTACTGATACAATAATTTTCTCTCTAAGTCTTACTGATACATATATTTTCTCTCTAAGTCTTCAGTGAGTGAAACAAACCATGGCAACTCAAAACCTATTTGTTACACCCAGCAATGGATGTAATCCTGACCCATCCACACATAGCAAAGGCAACCAATGCACTGTATGCAAGAGCATCAGGTATGGTGTTGCCTGTGTTAGAAAGACAACTGAGATGAGTCAGGATGTAAACAGCCATTCTTCATCCCTACTGATGAACAAAGAGTTGTAAATATTTGTTTCCCTTACTGATTCACTACAAAACCTTATTTGTCTGCTCCAGCTTCTTCAACTCCTCATCAATTTCTTGTTCTGAGACCTTAATAGCTTTCTTTGAACCTGCATTCACATTATTGGTTTTCTCCTCAACGCTGTCCACATTGCTTGATTTCTCATCTTCTTTACTCATAAGTTGTCGCTTTTCATTCTTCAAAGGTTCTTCATTGTCTTTTTTCTCTAGTGGAATATCTTGTGGAGCATGAGGCACTGGAGGCTCTTGTCGCTTCACCTCACCATCAGCAGGTCTCACCACATTCTCTGCTTCCATTAATCCCTCATTCACTGTGGCAACAATGGGTTTTTCTGCTGGCTTGGCATCATTTAAGCTTTTTTCATCTTTGCCAACATTTTTATCCTGCCCTAAACCAATCTTGAAGAAAAAAACAGAAAAGAATTGGATGAATTTCTGCATAGACTAAAAGTTTAGTTTAACATGTTACTTCTGAACATTAAAGTATTTTTGAACTTCAACATCAAAACCTCAAGTTTGATTCTATAATTTTCATTAATAATAAACTAATATTTGAGTTATAACCTTGAAATAATAAAATGCATCATGCTTGTTAGTTTTCTGAATTTGTATTTAAGGAATTGCATGCAAATGCTTGGGGACATGAGGGCATAATGGTTAGTAGACTGAAGTTAAGATTGAAAAGAAAAAGTTTGAGCCATGACCAAGGTCATGACCAAGCAAATTACCTCTCTGTTGCTATTAATAGTAAATAAATCTGGTAACAGGTTCATCTACATTACCAAGAGTTAACTGTGCATATATATCAAAATAACATCCTTCAGCTGATGGGTTAGTCTACTGTCATAACCAGCTTTCTAGAATATTGATATTGTACAGAGTACTTTCAGAGTCTTTTTCATAGTTCACTGTTAACAAAGGAAGAGTAGCATTTATGATAGTGATCACACTTAACCCTCTGAACCTTAATTTCTCCTCACAAAATCACCCCTAAATCAAACTTTGAGGAAACAATCACCAAGTAAAGAAGCTCTTGATTGTTACACAAATTCTCGTTGTCAGCATCTTAGGAAATGTAAAGAGAACAGCGTGGAATACATGCATAATGATGTCAGGGCATAAGGAGTTACAGATTTAGGTATTCCTATGGTGTACAAGGCTGAAGTTCTGTACCTTAGCAATGTCTACATCAACTGGTGCTTCTCTGACACTAACATGGAGCACACTGTCATTAGTGTTTGACTGAGGAGGATTATGGAAGTCTACTGGCTTAATAGGATCAATTCCTGGAGGATGGATATCAACTTGGTGGTGTGAGCTTTCTTCTTGAGTAGTTAGCACTGTGTATGTGCCTGCCACAAAGAAAATTAACCCCAAACCAAAGACAAGCTGTGAAAAGAAAGAGGGAGACATGACTAAGCAGCTTGCATATGCAACTAATTACTTTTCATGCATGACTAAGAATCAGGCAGTGTTTCTCACATTTGAAGTTTAGAACCTTGCACTGTGACAATCTCACCCTAACAAACCTTTTGACTCACAGTGATATGTCTATAATCTTTACATTTTCCACAAATTCATAGTACATTTAGTACACCCAGTTAGGTATAGGGAATCAGATTTATTGTGGCATAATAACTTGGAGATGTGCAAACAAAGCATTGATGAATAATGCTTCTGTCAGATGGTGACTCTTCTCCTTCAACAGCATTAGTGAATGCAGTCAATAAATACATATATCTTATTTGACATTTTGTTGTGTAGTATCGCTGAGTATTTTTATGAGTTGTGCCGTATTTTGATGAGCCTGTAGGGCGAGTTAAAATACAAATAAGGAGTAAAAATACTCAGCGATACTATACAGTCAACAAAAAGTCTAATAAGTTATTTACATGTATTATCCAACATGCCAAATTATTATTTCAGTGCAGGCGAATTTTGCTGAAATTTATTTACCAGGCGTGAGTGACAGAAGTATGCAAAGTAGAATGGAATTGTTTCTAATTTCTTCACTAAATAAAGAAATTTCTCAGTCGTCTAGCTGTTTTCTTTGTTTGATTCATCTAATAACCTTGGATTAATACTCGCAAGCCATTCCGACTCTTCACTGTCAGAAATATGATTCAAATCGTCCACCATTCTTTTTTAAACTTCAATCCAATTCTTTGCTTGTGCATATAAGAAAAACCTGTCCAAATGGTCCCTGGAGTACAAATACTGCATGATATTTGTCCTCGTCTTAGTTGTTATTTGTACTCTACAGAGTGTAGTTGGATAATAAAACTCCATAGTTCAGTTTTTAACATTCATACCCAATACACAATGGTTAAAATGTTAACAGTTTGCTGCTAATGGAGGAATTTAAGTACAGTAATTTCCGGCCGTTTACCCACGCGTAATCTGTTGATTTTGCCTTTGACACACGCCACTGGGGGTAATAGGGAGGTGCGGGTTATGTAACAATTTTGAAATCTGCTAGCTGTTGAATTGAAAAAAGTTCTCACCTTCCTTCATTTCCACTTCTCAAATGAATTTCATTGTAGTAAGACTGCCACAAAGTGACACGAAAACATGCCGATTCGAGTTTACTTCACGCATAATTAGTTGCGCGATGAACAAATTCTTATTGGCACTTGTGTAAACAAAACTTTGATTGTGACAAAAATAGTCCCAGGATATCCAGCGCATCAGTAACAAATTTTCAGTTAACAAGAGCTTGAGCTGAAGAGAATTTTCCCATTTTAAGGGACTTGTTAGACCCAAGACAACCGGAGATACCAATTTTTTTTGAGAAATCAACAAATCAACATGGCGCTGAATGATCGCTCGCACAAAACGTGACCACGAATTCGCATTCTGTCAAGTATGAAACATTACGAATTCTAGAGCCTTTTTGTACAAATTTCCTTTGCTCTTAAGGTGTTGGTTATCCACCAGTGCGGGTAATCTGTTGACTTTCTTTTTGCCACATGCAATAATCAGCCGGTGCGGGTAATCAGCCGTGCGGGTAAACGGCCAGAAATTACGGTAAACATGCTATCTGGTTTATTTTTCAATCAGATTGTCAAAGGCAAGATACCCAAGGCAATCCTAGATTCTTTACTGCAATCAGTCGAGCAATCAATCAATTCAACAAACTTTCTTTAATTTGCAACCAAAATGTTTGCTTTTAATCATTGCAATGAGACCCGTGCATCTTCTTAGTTTTCTTCCAAAAGGGAAAATTGGTATCTGTTCTTTTTCTAGTAGGCAGTTAAGCTACATCACAGGATCAGTATTGTAATGCAACCCTTGTCAGCTATTTCATGCAACATTTGGCCGCTAACTTTCATTACAAGTTACACAGATGTGTAGACCCACCTTGGCTACAAACCTAGCAGACGTCTTTTCAGTCACAACATGTAGAAACATGGTGGATGGAAATACAAACGCTATCAAAGTGCCCATTGTTGCTCCAGTCAGTGCCAACACAAATTCAACTAAGAAACATAAAGAAAATCACTAATAAGAGGTCTAGTAACAGTTTTTTTCCATAAAATAAAATGATAGGGTTTATGTTCTTGGGCAGAAATATGTTTTGGTTGCTACTCAGAGTCATTTCTGCCTGAGCTGCAAGACGAGGGTTACAATGACTCTGATGAGGAGGCCCAAAACATATTACTTATGCCAAAGAACATAATTGTTATCACTTGGAGGTTATAAAGAAAAGAAAAAATTGAAAAAGTTATAAAGGCGGAAAGTTTGAAACTGCGGTGCTGCGTCGGTGTGGGTAACAAGATAATTGGTTATATCAACTAAGTTGAAATTGTAAATTGGCCACCGTAACGGATAAAAAAGCTGATGTTTTGAGCGTTAGCCCTTCATCAGAGTGAATAGAGGAGTTGTGGGTTGTATGTGGTTTTATATGCGGAAAGTGGAGCTACGCCATTGGTGGGAACATAGCAACGAGAAAAACACGAATAAATTAGTGAAATGAAAAGCGTTCGTTGATACCTGTGGGATTAAGATTGCCGATTTGAAAGGTTAACTTTGGTTCAAGAGTTTTGTGGCTTTCCATGTTGCCTAAACGTAAGGAAAGACCACAGATTGCCATATGTTGTTTAGAATGAATAGTTAAATTAAAGTGTCTGGCGACAGGTTTAGATGCGTCCTTGTCATTCCTTTCCACGTCGCGAAGGTGTTCTCGGAATCGGTCACCTAGTTGTCTTCCTGTTTTGCCGATGTATATATATAAATAATATATTCCCTTAGCTCCGGTTGGAGCATAGGCCATTAACCACTTCCGTCCTCCATCGGGTTCTGTCCTGTTCTGTCCTTTGCCGATGTATAACTTTGTGCAATAAGTGCAAGTTATGCAATAGATAACATTGGCAGAGGTGCACTTGAAGTGATCAGTGATCGATGATCGATGGATTGCTTGGGTCCTGATATTTTCTGAGCGTTGTGAATGAAGGGACAAGTTTTGCATTGTGCACAAGCGCATTTAAAAGTGCCGGGTTGGTCATTAGTTTGGAAGGAACTTCTGACCAAAAAATTGCCTATGTTTTTGTCGTGTTTGAATGAAATAAGTGGAGGTTGCGAATTTACGGTGGCCAATTTACAATTTCAACTTAGTTGAAATAACCAATTATTATGAAAAACTTATAATACTGTCAAAATTTGATTATCTGGACCTCAGTTATCTGGATTTCTTGATTATCTCTGGTCCCAATTTTTTTAACGAATGTAGATTTGTATGATCACAGGGAGCCCAGACAAGCGGTGAGCCTGGTTGTTTATTCGAAATATAAAGGAATGTATGGGAGTATATTGAAGAGTCTTATTATCGTAAACTTATATCATGAAATGTCTGAGTTAAAGCTCAAAATAAATGTAAACCTACCTCACTTGCTTGGTATTGTCATTTCTGTGGCTCTAAATGGCGAATTTGAGTGATTTGGTGGGTTTTGCATCGACTGTTACTATACGTTATTAGAAGGAGACAAGGGTGGAAAGCTGATTTTCGACCACTCTTCCGGAAAGCCGATTTTCACCCAGAAATAAGAATTGCCCAGCTTCCAAATCGAAAACCAGATAAACTGAAAGGTTGACGCTTCTTCTCGTCACATTCAATTGAAGATCCATTCAAAATCCAAGCGCTGCCCACCAAAAAATTTTCGAGAAATGCAGCTTTCGAAGTGATCAGCATCCACAGCCCTGATTTCATGTGCCAAGGAGCAACCATCATGTTTGCCCCACGCTGATTGGATGATGCTAAACAATGCCCGATTACAAATGCCTCATGTGGGTGGGGAGTCAGGGGCATATTAACAAAGAGGGTTGATGTCGTGTCGGGTTTCCCTCACACGACATAAACCTCACACCAGGCTAGTCAGTAGATGAATCGCTGGCGCGAATATGCCCCTGGCTCGGCCTTCAGACATTTCATGATATAAGTTTACGATAATAAGACTCTTCAATATTCTCCCATACATTCCTTTATATTTCGAATAAACAACCAGACTCATCGCTTGTCTGGGCTCCCTGTGGTATGATCAATATCCGTAGCCATACTCTTTAAAACTACAGCATTGAAAAGTGAAGTAAAGGCGATGTTCTTCTTTAAGGCTAACTGACTTACCTATAACATTTTTAGGCCATTGTAAAAACATTTTGCTAATTTTAATTGTTAATACACCCTTGTAGAGGTATTCATGTAGGACAGTGAAGAAGAAGACCATATTTTTTTTCAAAACGATTTGTAAAATAATGTCTTGTTTCCAGATTAAATGTCACTTTCTTAATTTAACCAGTTTTTGTTCCTCATATTCATATTCTTGATTATCTGAACCCTTGATTATCCGGACTATTTCCTCTAGTCCCATCCAGTCCAGATAATTGAGGTTTGACTGTAGTCTGAACAATCATGGGAGCATGCCAGCATGCTAAAACATCTTTAAGCCTGCCAATATCTCCATTTTAGCTCACAAAATGTGCCACAATGCCCAAATAATAATGCCATCTATAATAATTAATTTATAAAAAAAGTTCAATTTCCATAGGATCAGTTAGTTTCACATATTAATTGAAAAACTTTCACTTAAACTAGTCTTTAATGTCGTTTCATGTCACCACTCAGCTCTCTCAATATGACTTGCCTAAAATCAATGTCTTCTGATAATGGCAGTCAGTCCAAAAAATCAGATTTAATGATCTTTCTTCAGGAGATGCATCAACAAAATCAAGTGGGAACAAGAACAACATCTTTACTAAAACTGCAATGATGCACTTACTTTGTGGAAAGAGAATGCCAAGCAATAGGGTGCTTGATATGATGGCAAGGGTGAGATAAGTGAATCTATCTTGTGGGATGAAGTTGGCACCTCCTGGTAAATTCTCTGAACTTCCTGACTGCTGACAGAAATAAATTAACTGCATTTAAGAGTAGTTCATGCTCCAGACATGATAAATGACAACAATCCAATGGTAAGACTTAGCAACGCTGATATCACATTTCTGCTATGTAATTTTTAGTATATACCACGCAGTCAGGTAAACAGTGCTTTTTGCTTGTGCTGATTGGCTTGTTCACAAGTGAATAGCTAGTACTATACACCTCCAAGCAACCAATGAGACCAAATCAAGTGTGATCAAGAGTTTAATTTCCAACCATTTTTTGGTACATTGAAAGAAATGAACTAATTCTTTGCTATCTGTGTGGTATCTCCTAAAACAGATATTTAATTTGGTGTTGGTGGATATTTGCCTCACAGCTTCCAAGCTCAGTAAATATCCACCACCATTCACTTCCCCTTCAGTGAATAACTGTTAAATACCACTGGGTGGACAGAGGCCTTTCCAGTAAAGTGTCTTGACCAGGATATGGGTCAAAGCCAGACTTTTGATGCAGAATCCGATCCAATAACCCTCATATCACTGCACCTCCCATTCTGGTTGTACTCAAAACTTACATGTAATGTTCACTTTGTAACATAGATCATAACTGACCTGCTGGAATATCAAAGAATGTAGACTTGCTCGCAGAGGATAAACCATAAGAGGAAAGCTGACAATAACTGACATGACAAAACCTGTAGGAAAATTAAAGTAAAAATCATTTTTAAAGTTCATGTAACAAAAAAATTACACAGCAACTTCTTTTGTTTGAGTCACTTATGCAAAACTGATTGATCTGATTATAAGGTAACAAAAAATTAATTCCTTCTAAATCATATCTAGCCAGTCAAAGGTGAACACTTATATCAGAAACAAAGATAAGAAAGCAACATAAACAACACAAAACAAACAGTACCCTTAGTAACAGGCTAGCTAGTTATTATAGAACCCTACTTATCAACTGAAACAAGATGCATTCTAAAGTGACAAAGATTTAGAGTTAGCTGATAGTTGCTGACTAGACAAGTTCGTAAAGAGAAATGGCTTAAGGTAACATAAAATTGGCTTAAGGTAACATAAAATTCAGGTTAACCAAGATCAAGCTGGTGAAGTTCTATTGCACAAGCAATTTTTATTGAAAGCCACGGCAATAACAATGGTGCAAACACCAGTTGCCATTTCCTTGAGTTACTGAGTTATGTTAACTGGTCAGTCTGAGACCTTACCTAATTTAATTATCTGTGAAATAAAAGTGTTTCCGTAGTTTGTCAGCATGTCACCCTTGACACCAACACTATAGAAACTGACATAGCCAAAAAATCCAACCTATTTTGTTAAAAAAGGAGGAAAACAGGGTATCATCAATGTCTAGCTGGAAAAACAACAAAAACCTGATTAAAAGTTAATTTGGTAATCAATGCATCTATAAAATAAAACCTCTGCATCTATAAAATAAAACCCCCACAAAGAGCCAGAGAGACTAATGTGCAGTGGATGAGTCAGACAGAGACTAGGGGACAACCTGGTGGATGGATTATTTCTACCTAATAATATAAACTGAAGTAAATTAGAAGGGGAATGAACAAGGTTACGAGACATGATTCTAAATCTTACAATGTCTGTTGAAAATCTCAGTATATAAGTGAAGTATTGTGTAACTGAAAAAATAATTGGGACTTACCAAAAAATAGACACACGCCACAATGTTGATTCCTGTATTGACGACACCTTCCATTTTTTTAACTGAAGGTTCAGGTAAGGTTTCATACAGTGCAAACAGCTGCCTACATGTAATATAAAGTTACTCAACATATCATGAATATACAATCATGTAACCAAAACTATAATTATGAACAAGAAAATTTAACCCTAAGAATCTTGATCAGCAAATATTTTATTCATGATCTGAGACAAAAATCGCTGAAATTAGCCTCCAGTATCACCTCAAACAACTCTTCATCATAGTTGTAGTTATCAATGGTGTATATGTTGTAGTTCAATTTTATACTTGGTTCAAATTTTATTTTCCTTTGTTCTCGGTCATGTTAATGTATGATAATGAGTTTGAAAGAAAGGAAAATAAAATTTGAACCAAGGATAAAATTGAACTACAACATAATATTATACATAAAAAAAAAATAGGGGCATAAATATTAAAGATAACTCAAGGTGACTTGTTCTTTCCAGTTTTAAAAACAAAGAAATACTTACGTCTGGCAAGTAAATGCTAAAGCAAAGATGGGCAAATAGTGGAGAAGTTTCTCTGGTCGCCAATAATTTAGGTCTTTTAACCAAGATCCTTCCAAGATTTTTGGCAATGCACTTAAAAATGCCTGTTACAAAAAATAAGGGCCAAAATAAAATAAAAAAAATTCTTTAGAAAAAACAATGTTAAACAAGTTACATATTAGAAAAAACAGCAGATGTTTTTGTCAGACATGACAAGACCAAAACCACGTGTCCTGTAAGTACCTTCTGTTGTCCCTCACAAATCTTTACAAAAAATTTGATTAATATTTAATTTCAACCTCAACTAGTTGTAGCATGTTCCACGACCAACATTAAAGTACCACTATGATCAAAATTTCACATTGCCTTTTCTTTTCACTTCTGGAAACTAGAAGTAAGAAACACTTACCATGCCAAGTTTAATCGTAAAATTCTCACGGGAAGTATGATTATTTCAACCTTGTTTTCGTTTTTAGTCGCCCGCCATTACTCAATTCAAAAATGGCCGAGTGTGGCAAAAAGAGTTGGCACTAGTTGGAGCCTTTCAGAAGTGACATCATATGCGCAGCTCGACCTTAAAAACGTGGCTAAAATTTGTATGCCATTTGGAAGAAGAATTTGACGAAGAATACATCTTATAAAACGCCTAGAATTTCCACTGTGGAATCTCTCACAACACGAACCACGATGCGAAAGTGCGCATATGACGTCACAGGCCAACTCATGCGTAAAACCGCTTTTCAGTTCAGTCGCTGGCTCTCGTTTGCGAGCTGAGTAATGGCGGACGAGTTTTTCGTGAATTTTGGCCAGCTATATCAAGGCGTATTTCGCTTCCATTGACCTAAAAACTATCGCATATTACAATTCTAACCATATCAACTTGATTGGCGCTACAAAATGTCAAAACCAGAGACAAAAATTTTTGTCGTAGTGGCACTTTAAATATTTTTAAATAATAAAAGTTATTGAATATTTTTATTTGAAAAGATCATAGAAGAAACTTCACTGGAAAATACAGATTAGATAACAAACAAAATACATGCTAGACTTACTTGTAGAACGAAAAATCCATAAAACAGCAGGGCAGCAGAACTGAAGGAAGCTAAGCTTTGAAGATTTCTCATCAAAGACAAGGGCAAACCAACACCAAAAGCAAGTAATGTCATGAGAACTGCTCTCATAGTCCATGACACCTGTACAATTGCACAAGACAGTGAATAATTAAAGCAGTCAAATATGGCTTCACATAAACCCTGCATGTGACTCCATCACCCCTATTCTTAGGTTGACTTTTTCCACACTGACATAAGAAATGTCCTGTACACAGCTAAAATCAGCCTGTGACAAATCTTCTAGTTGTATATAATTTTTTGTTCTCAGCCACAAGAATTGCCATCACCAAAGCCACTGAGTAGGTACCTTTCAGTTTTTATTTTCATATTCCAGTTTTCTTCCACTTCAAGAAAATTCTGAGCATCATTGTCTGTAACTGATGTGAATTTTTCAATGTTGAGAAAACTTTAACAAACAACTTTGGATTAAGAATGGTGAAGGCTATGCCATTCATTCATCAACAAGACAGAGTGGCCCTAAAGACAAGTGATGTGTCAGCAGCTGATTGGTGATATTTAGCACATACTAAAAATTATAATTGTAATTTTTCACATGTTGTTATGGCTTTTCTCAGGGTTGGAAATCCTTGTATAACATTGTGCTTGATATGATAAAAATGATTCTTCTTTTCCTTTCTTTAGTTTATAATTTGAACTAGCTTTAAAATACATATTTTATCTCTCAATCATTATAAAATTACTGAAGTCTGACCATACCTGTACGCCACTTAAATTCTGAAATATTGAAGGAACTAAGTCTCCAATGATAACATTAAATGCTATGAGAGTCCCTAGAAGAAGACCAATAATACTAAAAGAAGAAAGAAAAGAAAGCAGTCATTGATTGTTGTGCTTATAGCTTTCTTAGTTACAGCCAATAACTTAATCGTTGTGTTGAAGAAAGAACCCTAAGGACAGTACATACATTGGGTACATGTTTTCAGAGTTATCATTATTAATTTTTACTGATGTATAGCCTTGTACCACAAACGTTTATAACTTTGATCAAAGTGTATATTTGGTTCTTATGATGTTACTAAAAGAGGAGGGAAAAGAAAGCGATCATTTAATTAAGAATGAAGTAATAGTCATGAATGTGATAGGAGCAATTGGCACAGATAAAAAAGACTTTTACCAAATTCCACTTGGAGACTAGTCTAAAATGCACTGTCAAAGCTGGAAAATTGCCTCTCCCAAAGAAAAGGTTGTATGGCCAATTTTATAAAGATTTTTTGTTGGCCACAAAGGCAATTATTATTCTCCTTTTTAACTCAATTTTTTTTTGGCATTCATGCAATCTTAACGATGGTACATTCTCTGGATGTTACTGCCAGTGTTGACAGACTTCTAAGGCGTATGACTTTGTAAGTTACTGCCAATAACTTCATTGTTGTGTTAACAAAAGAATACTTGGGACAGTACATACACTGTGTATATGTTTTTCAAAGTAATCAATATCAATTTTCCCTTAGGTACATCCTTGTACCACAAAAGTCTCTAACTTCAATAGACCACTTTCATAAATGGCTGCTGGATTAATATTCTTTTGTTTAAATTTAAATTAGCTCTTCTGGCCTCGCTTGAGATAATGTATTCTTTGGAATTTTGTACTGGAGAATGAGGCCAGAAGGGGCAATTTAAATTTAAACAAAAGAATATTAATCTGGCAGTCATTTATGAAAGTGGTCTACTGAAGAGTACATTTGGCACTTATGATTCATGTCACTTGTGTCATAATAAATAGCTACTCAAGGTAAGCTCTACACATGCAGTTCACATCTTAATCACTTTACTGTACTAACATGTAATCCATTTTAGTAGTACACCAATTACTGTACCTTGCTTCCACAGCAAACTTTCCTGGAGCACCATAAGTAACCAATGCTGAAGAAAAATATCACAAAAGTAAACAAAAGTTTAGAAACAAATGATAAGTGGTCTGTTAGCACTAGGGTTATGACAGAAAAGCATAAATTATTTAATTCATCGGTATCCAAACTCTAAATTGGACCACCAGAAATTTCCATGATCAAATTTACAAAAACCCACCTAAAATCATTTTCATACCAAAACCAGCTATGGTCACAGGATTCTAAACATTTTATGATATTTCAACTCCAAAAAAATTCAGCAAGCTTGATATTTAGGAATGCATAAATCAAAAACTTATTTATGCAGTCAGAGGACCATTTTGGGAGCTTCTCTGCAAAAGAGGAATGCTAGGTAATTCTTTTTTTAGGGGACACCTGGTAAATGTCTTGGAACAAACATTTTGATCATTATATCATTTTTGTTTTGGCTACTTATTTTCCAATTTCCTACGTAAAATTCCGTCCAGCTCAATGAATGCTGCACTGACAGAAGAAAGTTATTATCTCTGCAGGACTGTAATTGGAAAGAGCCCAAGTGCCACAGCCCAAGGACCATTCTCACTTTGGGAAAACTTTAAAGAGCTGGGCACCTTATGTTCCTGAGACAAGAACCAGATTCTTCTAAGAGTACAGCTGTGCTCTGTGAGGAACATTGTCATTCTCAACTTCAAGAAAGTTTAAAGCAACCAGTTTGTAGGGTTGTTGTTCCCTCTCAAATGGGTATTTGAAAGAAAATTGTTTATCAGATTAGGTAACAACATTATGGGTACACCGTTCATTAACTTAGGTATTATACTGGGTAAAAAAAAACCAACTCCAGATTTGATTCTCTAATTTAAACTCCTCTCTCCTACCCATTAGACATGTGCATTCATAAGACAGTACATGTACCAGCAGTTACTAGAGAGTCAACAAGTTCACCTGTCAGCACTGTTTTCTCAAAATGTCCGGTAACTCACCTAATCCTTCATAGTTCCGTCTCCGTGCCACCTGACCTGTATTAAGAAGTAGCCCACAGGATTTCTTTGTAAGTAAGCAGCTGCTTGCAATTGCTACTCCACAAAGTAAGATGCCACACTGATGAAGAGTTGAAAAAGAAAAAAACTTGTATCAACATTCTACTTCTTAGGTGTAATTTTACTGATTTATCTCATCCATACTGATAAACAAAAGTTCTAAAAGTTACAGTGATCCAATATATATGTTGTAGGTCAATTTGTTCTTTAGGTAAATTTGTTTCAAACTAGGTTAATTGGATCTCAACCTTGGTCAGTTGCCTAGACTTGACATTTTGGATGGTCACTTACAGGAGGTTTGACTGTATTTTAAAAAAAATTTCAGGTTCCAGACATCTCAACACAGCCGAAAAAAGAAAAAGAAAAAAAACAGACAGACAGACATCAGCAACTGACCTAGGTTGAGATCAAATTAACCTAGTTTGAATCAAATTTACCTAAAGAATAAATTGACCTACAACATATACATACTTGTACCCATATACAGTGCACAGCTGTTTTCAGAAAATAATGTTACAATTTGAAAATAAAATTTAAACCAAGGATTAAAATTGAACCACAACATATTCACCTCTCCTTTTGCCAACATAACTATAGGGACAAGTTTTCGAAAGGAAAGTAGAAACATTGCTTTTTTTTTCACCTTCGTGCAACAACAAAAACGGTATTGTTCCTTTGATGTGAAATATACATAGGTTTTCAATATATACTTTAAATTTGCAAGGTTGTTGAAAATGGATGTATATATATATATATATATAGGAAGTCTGCAAGTCGATTTTCGCGTGGAACAGTGCTCAATACGTTGAAGCAGAGCAGAATAAATATTATGAGAGGAAAAAAGGACGTAACTACATTTCCCGGCAAGCCTGTTTCGTGAATCGCTTCACTCTTCAGGGGTTTAAACAGGCTTGTTTATTTTACGTGACTCTGGAAGTCAGAGGGCCAATAACTAAAATCAACCAATCAAAATGTTCTATTGCCGGTCAATATTCTCTCAATATTGGACCGGGCACTGTCCCGAATGGTCCCGAATGATACCGCACTTGTGTCCCTGTGAACTTCAGTCATGTAATAAATCTCTTTTTAACCAAGCTTGCTCGGGACGTTACTGGAAGAATATTGGCCCTCTGTCTTTCTTGTACAGACCTCACTGCGCTCAGTATGTACTGTCAAGACCTCAGGCCGATATTCTCTGAGTATGGCTCTCGCGCTTGGTTAATAAGATATATATATTATATATATTTGTTTATGATTTTACATACTAAGCTATGTGTCCTATAAGAAGTGTACTAGAAATGTAATAGTCTAAAACCATCTTTTATATGTGCCTTTTTTTTAATAAGAGTGTGACTGAAATTTAATTTAATTTTTTTAAAACAACCCAAACACATACCCAAGGTTAATTGCCAGTTAACAAAAAATTTTCATTTTGCTCATTTTTGCAGTATGTAAAGCCAACAATGAGCAAAAGTTGGTTGGTGCTACAAGTTACTCAGACAGGCAACTTGATATTATCAAACAATGCCTTTGGCTAGGTATCCTGTTCACACACATTTTGTTTTAATTGAGAGATTAGATGGAGTAACTTTACAAAGTCTTATGATGTTTTCCAGCTCAATTGGCAAATAATGAGATATTAACATTAGACATTCTTTTTCCAAGTGTACAGTACATCTTTCTCGAACAAAAACAAAATTGTTGATTGTGGAATCAAACTATTATTGGTTTTTGTGTGATGTCATCAAAATAAAAAACTAAGGAATTATCAATCCTTTTTAAGAGTTCAGTTTGATAGGGTTTTTTGTTTTGTGATTTTGCCAGGTTGAATTTCTAGGCTTTGGTGTGACACGATATTAAAATGGCAGCCAATGAGGGGCAAACATGGTGTCTCCACACAAAGCCTTACAGATTTGAGTAAAACATATCTTCTAATATCTCTGGTGAGAAACATTGCTTAAGCCTGAACCTTGGTGAGACTGTTTGAATATTCACCTTCTGTTATCTCTTCGATTCTTCACTTTATTCGATTCTTCACTTTGTTGAATGGTTTTTATGATGGTGTGACAGTGAAAGCCGGCAAAAAAAGTCTAGTAGCAACACTGCTGCTTGTAAATGGAGTGCAAGTCAAAAGATCCTAAAGTTTGTCTAACTGTTGCTTTTGGCGAAGCAATGAAGATGTATTGAACCCACATGGGCATGTAAAATTACATTCTACGTTTACGGTTTCGATGAAAATCGCAAGTTTGATGTGCTTTTTTTTACTGATACGGCACAAATTAGTGAATGAAATACAGATCGGCCTACATTTTCAAAGCTGGTATTAAGAACCAACATGTTGCAAATGAAGATATCTTTGTTTAATTCAATTTGGCGTTGTTGTGGTGATCAGCCAAGATTCCAGAAATATCTTCTCGACCAAATCACAGATGGATTTGACAACAAAGGGCAAATATCGTGTGTTTTTGTTAGTGCGAACTTACGTGACAAATTTGAATAAACAGTATGAGGTGTTATAAGAGAAGATCATTTACAAAAAACCTGAAATAAAATAAGTGTGTATTCCAGCGAGTGTTGAAATCAATCGGGTAAGTTTGCAAAGTTTACCTCTTGAAAGCAGAAAGGCATCGCCAAAACACTGACTCCAATGATGCAGTTGATCAAATTAAATATAACAGGTGTGGTACTCATTGGGAAAAATCCAGATAGGAGTAAAAATACCCAAGAGCTAACATAAAAGACGTTGAAAAGTTCAGACAGGTGATCTTTTCTACTGACGTTTCCTTCTCACCACGCATGCAAATGAGGCTTGGTTGCTCAGATTCCAACCAGGGTATACAGAGTAAATTATCATAATAAAAACGAGGCTTTTCGGTGAATTTCCCACAATACCAAGCAAAATTTCGTCCTTTTCGTTCCTCAAAATGGTGAGTTCTGTTTAAACCTTAACCTGGCGAAAATATCCTCCTCGATCCTTGTCATCTTGGAAGTAACCGTGTTTGTTTCCCAGCAAAAATTTTATACAACTTTCATTGCGACGATATCTTAACCTTCTAGGGGATAGACATCAAACGGAAGCACGTTAAGAAGAGGGTACGACAAGAGCCTGCCTCGCAGAATGTCTACCTGAGGCTCCTTGTGAAGGTTTGTAGTAGTGGGCTATTCTCTGTTTGAATTTAATTTTCGTTGAGATGAAGTTCTGACGCAGTATAATTCATTTCTATTTTGCAGCTCTACCGTTTCTTGGCCCGCCGTACGAATGCAACTTTTAATAAAGTTATTCTGAAACGTCTCTGGATGAGTCGTGTGAATAGGCCACCTCTTGCTCTGTCTCGTGTGGTAAGCGTCATGTCCTTGATGCCCGCTATAAGTTCTTGTTTCTGTCTTTCTTTAATTGATCACTGTATAGAATGGGTATTCGTGTACATTATCGATGTTTTCTATTATCCATAAGGTGAGAAAAATGAAAGCAAAGGGTGACTTCTCTGGAAAAATTTGTGTTGTTGTTGGAACTATCACAGATGATCTGAGGTTGTATGAAGTGCCGGCATTGAAGGTTAGTATTACAGAGGTAGATTGTCATTTTGAATTTTGTTTTACCAAGATGCTCGGAGAAAGCTTTCTCATTTCCATTCTTGTTTGGCTTAGGTGTTTCTAGTCAATGTTGGAGAGAAAACAATAGCTGAAACCTACTTTTTGTTGTACAAGTTGTAATGTCAAAGAGAGGGAGGAAAATTTATTTGGTTTTTGCGATTTCTCGTTAAGAAGCAAGGTAGTTTTAAGGCACGTTAAGTTTCAAGGGCCTCCTACAGGTTAAAATAATTCCAGCGTTGGAATTTAACAGGTAACTGGAGTTCCTTAGTAACCTTGACTGTGATTACTTTTTCTTCAGTGTCCTCTTCAGTGAATTCATTTAGTGTATGCCTTTCCCTTTTTCCTTGAGGTTTGTGCACTTCATGTGACTGAGGGGGCACGTGCGAGGATTTTGAAGGCTGGTGGAGAGATCATCACCTTTGACCAGCTTGCCTTGAGAGCACCTAAAGGAAACAACACTGTTTTGCTTCAAGGTAATTTGTATGTGTCCAGTGTGGTATGCATGCCATATTGTATTCACTTTGGTCAGAGATGGAGATGGAGTCCTTTAGTTGTCAGAACTCTTATAGATGTGTTTTTCTTAAGCAACAATTATTTGTTGCTTATCATAAACATTGCAAGGGTCTACAGGTTGGAGGATATTTAAACTTTTCCTGTCAGAGGAGGGTACCTTCTGTTATTGTTTTGGAGCAATTGCAGTATACCCAGCCCACTAATCTGCATATGACAGCAGCCTTTGAAGAAATGGCATGAAATAGTAGAAGTAATTAATCCTTATATGTAAATGAATGGGCTGGCTATACTGCAATTTAGCCATTGTTTGTTATAGATGAGGGGTTCCAGGATTATTAAAGACTCGTAAATGAAGGTCCTATTTTTTAAAAAGAACTATTCATTTGACATGGGCATATAACAGTAATGTTATCTGAAAGCCCAGCACTATTGAACCAGAGTTAATTATTGGAATTCATGATTTGAATGACCTATTTTGTTCAGATGTGAATTAGCAGAGAGTTGGTGAGAGTTGTTCACCTCCTCCCTTCTATTTTGAGCATTTTTTAAGTTGCAGAACGTGTTACTCTGCAATAATAAAAAAAACTTGACATGATGTTAACTCTGTAGCCCCTTGAAGGCTATGTAAAATGTATTTAAGCTTCCCTTTGAGCTTAACTGAATCCAATATGCTCATTTCCAAATATTTTTTTCATTGGTTATGGAAAGTATTTTCGTGATGGGTTTGGGTCTAACAAAAGCCTGCATGTGATGATAAGACACGACGGTCTTCTAATGCAAACAGCAATTGATGAATTCGTAGTGGTATTCTGATGTGGGCAATCTTAATTCTATTCATGTAACACTGCATTCTACAGCCATTGTTTTGGAAAGTTATGAAAGTTGCTCTTCCTTCCTGTTATTGTACAGAATGATTGATAATTATGAAATACTTCTCATTTTGTTTTAGGTCCAAGGAAAGCACGTGAAAGTGTGAGACACTTTGGCCCTGCCCCAGGTGTTCCACACAGCAAAACAAAGTAAGTGTGTACTTAAGTTAAGAAAGTGAAAGACTGTACACAGAAACATTGTGTCAGGGAGCTTGAAAAACATAATCTTGTGAGAACTTAAAGAGAGGAGTGTACTCACGATTGAGCAAAAAAAGTTTCTAGTTTGTCAATGACATTGTGAGGTTTTCAGTGTTCCCCCAGTTCATTATTATTGGCTCTCCTTTTATCATGCACTTTTAACTGTGAAGGGGAACCTATTTTCATAATTTATGCATTTAGATGCACTTTATTGACACCACTTTTTTTTTTGAGAATTTGTCTGCTGAATCCCCCTCTGTCTGTCTCTGCCATATTGTACTGTTGCCATCTAAAGTCAACCTTGACTTATTACTAAGAAAAAAATAGAATCTTTTCTAAGTTACCCAGATTTCTGCTTTTGAAACTGAATAGATGTACAGCTGTTTTGTAAACTTGGAACAGTGTTTTGGTTCTAGTCAGTTTTGACAATTCTGTAACAAGCTCACCAGTGTTTTTCCATGATGTTAATCATCCTGTTATCATTTGTTTTATAGGCCATATGTTCGTTCCAAAGGACGCAAATTTGAAAGAGCTCGTGGTCGCAGAAAGAGCCGTGGCTTCAAAGTTTAGAGAAAATGTGGAGGCCAAGTGCACAATAATAAAGTTGTTGTTTAACCTACCTATGTTGTTATCCTTATTTTGGCTAAGTTATTGCTTGCATTCCCAACTGCTAATGATTATTGTCACAAGGCATCCAAACCTTTAATACCTTCTCACAGATACTGGTACTCTAAGCTTAGTCTGTTGTTTCTATGGAAACTTGATTTTTGAAATGGGTTTCTTGATAGTTTTCACTCTTCAGTTGAATAATTAAGAGTCACCTCAACAAGTCTGAAATTTAATTACCGGTATCACATTGATGGATGTTGCGGGCGTCAATCATTCAAGTGCCAAAGGAAATGTATATGCTCCAGAAATTATCCAATTTTTATCTCCATTGTTAAGTATCAATCAAAATCTACTCCTTATGAGGGTTTGAGATTCTGAAAAATAATGTAACCATTCCATTATTGTCTTCAAATGGGCAAAGAAATCATCAATGGGTGCTGCCATTGCAAACAGCAGTCAGTAACCTGCTGTACGTGCCAAATGTATTGTGAAAATAATTGCTAGTTCTCAGAACAATATACTGGTAACTATCACAAAGAAATATTACCACTGTTGAGGTGAACAGTACTTGTTAAACACTTGTACAAGAGTTAATGAGTGCATGCAAAAAACAATATTCACTACAAGGTTACCGTAATATTTGTTCCCAAATTTATTCCTCTTCTTTTCTCATTTAACAATTTTGTTTCTGTGACTGTATTCTGTAATTCTGTTCATGTAATTAAGTTAGTAGGTAAGTGATAAAAAGAGAATTTCTTACTGTTGAATCATACTAAAGTATCTTTAACCTGGAGCCATTTTATTTAAGTCCTTGTTTAGAAACTGATTCAAATCATTCCCTTGATAGTGGAATGAAAAAGAAAGAAAGGAGTACTTTTTCATAAGAAACTTCGTGCGTGGTTGCCCCAGACATTGGTTTTCAAAATTCTAAACATCTCCCTGACAAATTAGATATGAAAACCAAGAAATGCTGCAAGCCTCTCCCTAACAGCCATCACTCATTCTGGTGAACTGCAAGCATCACGTCCACATAGAAAGAGCCTTAGAATTATTACAGAGGAGTAAAGCCAAGGAAAAAACCCTCTGCCATCAACAGTGATGTATCTGTTCAGTGGTATAATAGCTACAGCTATGCACCCTCCTTGTTAACATACTAACTACTATGATGTAGCCCCCATCTTTGAAAACACCTAGAGAAAATTAAAGCAATTTGATCAGTGGCAAAACAGATCAATCCTTTTCTCACAGCATTTCAGACTGATAAACCTGTGCTGCCATTCATGAGTATGAGTTTGTACACTGTGTTGAAATAATTGCTAAATAGGTTTATCAAGGGTGAACTTGTGACTAAAGCAAAAACTCTTTTGAAGATCCCGAAATTGAAGCCTACTCATAGCAAAAAGCGATTAGACTACCAGAGAGTTGATGTTGGCTTTGTGGCACAACAGATGCTGAAAGAAACGTCTGGTAAATTGAGTGAAAGGCAAGTTTCTCAATTCAGGATGGACTGTAATGATTTTCTTGCAAAAACAGCTTCTAAACTACTTGACAAAACACCAATAAGTTATCAATTGGTAAGAAGTATGTCTTGTCTGGATCCAAGGCTAATGACATCAGAGAAAGATATGTTTACTTAACAAAATGAAAAGAGTTGTTGAAATTGTTGTAGGAGCCCACAGATTAAACGCTGATGAGGTGATATATCAGTTTGGACAGTTTCTAGATGAATGTGCAGATAGCCCTCACTTTGAAGATTTTGACCTTAGTGAACCCTCTTCAAGAGTTGACACACTTGTATGAACCCATGTAGAGGGTGGTTGAATTACTGTTGCTTACGTCTCAGTCAGCCACAGTTGAAAGAAGCTTTAGTATAAACAAAGAAGTGGCAGTTGAGAACCTGTCAGGAAGATCATTCATTGCACAGAGGATTATTCATGATCAGATTGAATCAGTTGGAGGCCTTACCAATTTACAAATCTCAAAGCAACTTCTTAAGTCATCTGCTGGAGCATGAGAGAAGTAACTTCCCTAACTAGAAGAGGAGAGGAGAAGAAAATTTAAGTGTCCCAGGAAAAAAATTCTTTAAAGAAAGGCGACAATGGATGAGATCAGTGTGCTTAAGAAGTAGAAATGGCAGTTTGAAACTGATATAGAGGCTCTTTTAAAGACTGCAGATGAATTTGCCGATAGGGCTGAAGATTCAAGAAATCTTACTTGGGTTGCCAAATCAAACAGTTTGGGGAAGATCTGCCAAGGAAAAAAGGGCAGCCTTGAAAGACATCGAAGAGCAGTTGGATGGAGAGCTCCAACAGCTGAAAAATAATTAACTACTTCAATCCCAAGATGTGATTATTAATTCTACTTACTATTGGCTAATAACATAATGGGCAAAATTACTTAATGCTGATTGGTCAATGAAGAGGGTATTTTTTCTTAATTTTGCTTGTGAAGAGGGCAAAATTACTTGCTCATGATTGATCCACTTTAAGTCAACTTCATCCTGCAAATTCCACTGCATCTTTGTGTGCTCCCGGCCATGTTTAAAATTTCAGTCACTGCAACATCACCTTGAACATCGCTGGGAATGATGCCGTTCAGAAGAGCACAAGTGATGTAAGGCAAGGATACAAGCGTATCTTCATCGAAGAATCAGATTCTGTGTGATCTGAAAGCCTTTTGCATGCTTTAAATTTGTTTGAAAAAGCACTAACTTTATATTTTCAACGTTGAAAGTTTGTCAGCAGGCCTGGTTTTCAATGTCCTGGTATGTTTGTACAAAACTGAAATTTCATTCAGCTAATTTGCATGTTTGTGGTGATTGATTCTTTGTCAACATTAAATGGCTTCCTTTGACTGATTACCTAAGAATTCAGAAATTCAGTTTTTTTCCCTCTATTTCATTAACATTAAGTAATTGCAATGGGTCCTCATAAAATTAAAGATTACTATCACTTGTGTTTTCGGAAGTTGCTAAAATTGGCTGAGTCGTGCAATTTTAGCAACTTCTGAAAACACGCATGATACTAATCCTTAGTTTTACTTGGCCCCATGCGATTACCTATTATTATACTAATGATTTCTTATGTTACTTCTGAGAAGTTAGTGTTCAATCAAAGTAATTGATATTTCTATATTTTTCTTTATTATTGTCATTTGCATGTCTGATAATGTATTGAAATTGCAAGAGGAAATTATTCTTCATTTGTCACTTTTGAAACGGAAAGGGTTATGGTGAGTTCTGGAGTCCTGGAAAAATCAATCTGAAGCCTGGAAAAGTCCTGGAAAATTGTTTCTGACAAAGGTTGCAAACCCTGAATTTCACTCTTGAGTATTTTTGGAGGTACAAGAAGAGTGATAGGAAGAGCACCCCTGACTTCTTGCATATATCTGCAGATTACGTGTACATCTTGGAGCTCTAATGAAGCTGCTACACTTTCCCATAAATCTTGCAATGAAAGTTCCATATACTGATTTATGTTATCACATCTGGAAGAACATGTAACTGTCAGAGTAGCCCACTTTCTATTTAAATCCTGTAGATCTGGTGCTGTTACTCCATAGAAAGATTTTTTGGGGAGTAGATTTGTTTTAAGTCCTGCTAGCTCTCATTGGCATTCATAAACATATCAGATTTTCTTTGCTTGCCTTCTGTGGATTGATTTCTTTTCAGTCCTAGATCTCCTCGTAGATTTTCTACTAAAGACTGAAATCCCTTGTCATCTTTAGTTTTCAAAGTTATCTTTTGTTCTTTTAGCTGATCTTGGTCACCTCTTAAAGGTTCTTGCACATTTAGGTTCTCCTTAACAGGTCTCTCAGTGTTACTACTAATTCCTCCTGTCCTGTTTTCCAAATCCACGTTTGACTGTTCAGGTTTGTTTATGTGGGTATCCATGATAGAGTTATTACATCCAGAACAGCTCATATTTAAAAGCTTCCTGGTAAGTTTTTGTACCTCAGCCAAAAGACTGCTGTAAGCCTACAAAGAAAAAGAAATGTTCAGTTATCAGCAAACAAGAATAATCTTCAAACTAATATTCCTTAATGGAAATTAGTCAATTCATTGGAGCTACACTTCAAAAATTCAATAATCATGTTATAAAATTATACACTTTTAATTTGTCTTAATCCTCGCCATCCAAAACCATTGTCAATTTGCAGACCAGGGCCGGGTTGTTCAAAGGTGGGTTAAGATAACCCAGGGTTACCATGAAATTTAATTGAAGATCTGAAAGCTCTAAAATTTAATTTCACTTTAATTCCATTTATTTACAATTAATTTTGGTGATTGAATGCTCTAAGAAGAATTGGGAAAATTATCTTAAAACGGCTTTTGAACAGAGAAATATAGAAACCTGGATTAAAATTTAACCCTGGGTTAGCGCTAATCGGTGTTCGAACAACTGGGCCCAGAAAGTTAGTTAGATTGCCAGAATTCAGAATTCTATCTCCAAAATGTTAAGTTATCTAATTGTATGAACTACAGGTACCTTAGAGCACTCTTCTTTAGAATTAAAGCTGGAAATCTTTCCTCTACGGTTATCCCCAGCTTGTGAGTTAAGATCTCCTTCAGAGGAAGTGTTTTCAACACTTTCTTCAACTTTTGGTTTTTTCTTGTTGCTGTCATTAGGGATCAAGTTTTCCTTTTGGAAAAGGGCTCGTCTGTACTTGTTGTAGCCTTGAAGAGTCAGCTCTTTGCGATAGAGTGCTTCTTCAATCTCCTCCCATTCTTTCTGGCCTTCTGCACTGAGCACTGGATAAACTACAGAGTGAAATCAATAAATTTTAAGCACTTCATCAATCAAAGATGTAATAGCGTTGGTTCGAATGATATATTACCACCTTGCAATGGTAATTTTTGCAAAAAAAAGTTTCCCTTTCCAGCGCTCATGGAAAAATATGACAAGTTCATATAAGATAAGTTCTCTTCCTCTCCAAGATAATTTCCCTTGTCTAAAAACTTGGTATAACTGTAGCTGTTCAACTTGACAAAGGAGACCTATCATAAAAACTTCACAGGGGCTTAAAAGTAACATTCTTTTTTTTGCAAGTTTGCCTTGAAAAGTTTTCTTTGCTTCACTCTGCTGCTTAAAATATTTCTTTAAAAGCACATTTTGTTGAAACGACACTATGGAACAGTGTTTAAAAGCAGCTTTTGTTATGCTTTCTAACATCAAAACCTTAGCTTATGCTGCAATGCGAAGAAAAAAACAAACAAACAAACAAAAACTTGGCTTTGAAAATTTCAATTCAGTCATCACTTCATTTTGTTTTTATAAGTTGTTACTGAACTAAATCCTATGTATGCAATGGCTAGTAATCCTGGCTCTTTACTAAGATGGTTCAAAGGAATATTTTAAAACATTTTATTATTCAAATGTTTACATGTACAGAACCTTGATCAAACAGATTGAACTTGGTTTTCATTTTACCGGTAAAAAGAAATAAAAGACTGTACATGAATAAAATATGTAAAGTGTGCACACCTACATGTATCACTAATGATAGAAATTGTAAAGATTTTCAGGAAAGTTTTATTCATAATTCTACATCATATCAGGTCTGAAATTCAAATGTTCATAACATTCAAAATGTTACCACAACTATTCTAGAAATTATTAAATGTAAATTTGCAAAAAGAATAGTTTTCTTGCCTAGGAATGCATCTATAGGACAAGCCAGTGGAGTCTCAAATCTTAAGTCATAATGACAAATGGTGGGCTCTACAACAGAGATAACCTTGTTTTGATCTCCACATCTCAGAAATACCTGAAGAATTCAATGATCAATATTAACATTATTAGTACATCACTTTTGAAAAATGTGGCAGTTGGCAAAAATCGCAATCACCACACCAGGCATACCTAGCAATTTCTGCTGTTCACCTGGATCAGCATATAAAATAATCGAGTGTGTTGCCTGCCTTGATGAATTCATTTGACATTTTTGCATCTTGTTTCACTAGGCTTACAGTGTGTTGAATGTATACAAAATCTGATGCAAGGCTCGATGCAAACTTTTCAACTTTCTAGCCAAGGGGCTTTGTAACAACTTAGATTTCATGACAATTTCAGTTTGTTTAATAGCCAAAACTGCATTTTTACTAGTCTGGGGCTAGTTGGCTACCATTAGTGTTGAGCCCTGTGATGGATATTCATATTAATAAAAAGTCTAAATTACTAATAATTATCAATAGATATCATAAGCACACCTTTGTCTGTCGTGGTTTCTCACCAGGACACAAATCACCATTAGCTAACAGCATGGCCTCAAATGTGTTGTTCACAATTACCCATTCTTTCCAAACACTGTAAAAGAAATAATAATTCAAAGAAGAAGCATGCTTCTAAATTTTTCTTTGAATGGGCCATTTCGGTAGGATTGCAGATACTTTTGTTAAAACTCAGAATACACAACAATTTGATATCAATGTTGTAGGTCAATTTGTTCCTTTGGTAAATTTGTTTCAAACTAGGTTAATTTGATCTCGACCTAGGTCAGTTGCTGATGTCTGTCTGTCTGCTTTTTTTTTGGCTGTGTTGAGATGTCTGGAACCTGAAATTATACTAAAACAATTATTCACCTCAGGTTCCAGACATCTCAACACAGCCAAAAA